TAATCGCTTTGACAGCCCGGTAATGCACTACCAGTCAAAAAAGTTCAAATATCAAGAAGCTTCCTACGTTGGCCGAGTCTCATTTGGACTCAAGGATGCAGCGTCAGGCGGGCTGAATTCAGGTGATGTGAGCCTGAAGCTGCTGAACGTCAAAACTGAGGATGCAGGAGATTTTGTTTGTTATGTCAGCAGCAGCCAGGGTTATGACAGTGCACCTGTCAATCTAATCGTGACAGGTGAGTGATTTAGGGGTGGAAATGTATATGATGTTCAAAGCTTTGCTCTAAACCATCGCATTAAAATGTTCTTCATCTTCCTCCTCGGACACTTTACCTAGCTTCGGGAAGTCCTCCTTTTCTATCAGTAGTGTGGGGAGAAGATGACAAGGTGAACGTGAGCTGTGAATCTGAAGGCTGGTATCCACAGCCTGTGCTGCGCTGGTCAGACAAGAAGCAGGATGTGAAACCTCAAAGTCTGGTGTACAGAAATCTGTCTTCTGGACTTTTTTTAGTCCACAGTTGGCTTCTTCTTTCCTCCACCTCTGAGCCTTCCTGCTCAGTGGGTCTCTCTGATAAAGAGGTAAAGGAGGCCAAAGTGAGCCTGGGAACTCTTCATAACACTGCTAAACCTGGTAAAGAGAATTTTTGTGTGTGTGTGTGATAGTTATATTATCTTTATTTGTTTTTCATTGTAAATACAGTAAAAGCTAAAATACAAGATTTCTTGCTTTTTGTTTAGAGTCAGAGTCCTCGCCAGGTGGGTGGGTGGCCTTTGCACTGCTTCTTGTTGCCACATTAGTGTTGGCTGCATTGGGAGTGATGTACTACAGAAAGAAAGGTACCGAATACATACATAATACATTTATATAATATCTTTGAATAGATAACACTTTAAAGTTATCCACTGTCATATGGAAGTGTTCACTGTCTGAAATTAAATCCTGAAATGTTTGTTTTGTGTTTTAGTGAGGAACGCCCAATCAGGAAGAGACCAAATTGATGGTAAGAAAGAGCACACGACAAGTTCAAATTAATGCTCTCAGTTATATAAA